TATGCATGCACATATATATGTCATCTTCTACAGCATATTAATATACATTAGTTGATTGATCGAATCAGTTCAGGAAAAAAAAAAAAGAAAAAGAAAATGGAACAATTAGTTGATGCTCCCCAGGGTGAAGAAATTGATTTCTTGTACTCAGTAATAAGGCATCAGGACCCAGATTTTCTCCGGGCCTTTGATCAGAGACAGTTCGCCGACACGCCGCTGCACTTTGCCGCAGACAACGGGCGAACGCAGCTGGCGGTAGAGAAATCCAAAGGCTAATGCCCTCGTTGGGGAGAAAGATGAACCCAGATGGGTTGACAGCCGATGACCTGGCCCTCCACTACGCCGCGGAGACGGACGATGCTGATCTATTGGAAGAGTTTCTTCTGAGGTGCCCGAAATCGATCGAGGAATTGACGGCGCGTGGAGAGAGTGCCGTGCATTTGGCGGTCAAGTATGAGAAACTTGCGGCGTTTAGGGTTTAATTTGTTTGATTGGCTGGTTAAGACTGGTCGAACTGACATCTTGAGATGGAAGGACGGTAACGGCGATACTTTAGTGTTGTGCATCTTGCCTCATCCACCGATCAACCCCAGGTTTGACTTATTTATTCTCTATCACATTTACATGTTTTCCACACAAAAATTGGTCAACTTATACAGATAAACAGCTGAGATTTACGTATGAATATAATTTCTGAACTTTTAAACTTTTGCTGAAGAAATTAATTTATAAAAAAAAAAATAATAATAATAAATTCCACTTTTCTCCCCATTTACTTTGGCTCGGTATCACTTTACGCCCTTGTACTCTCGATTGCATCGATTTGCCCCTGTACTTGAAAACTTGTTTCAATGTGGCCGTTGCTTTTAGTCGTCATTTGACCTTAACACCGTTTGCTCTAAGCTCTGAAATTATAAAAACGCCATTGTAGACAAATAAAATTTAAGCCAATTAAATGGCTAAATTATATATGGAATAAAGTTTTATCCAATGGCATTTGTGTAATTATACATAGCCAAATGACCTAGATGCCAATTGAAGACCCGTATATATGCGGTCACATATATATTTTTATCAATTATATATTTTGGAATTTAATTAAATTAATTTATAATTTAAATAAATAATTGATATTAAATATATATTGGCCAATAAGATTATTTCTTTTCTCCCAAGTTATAAAGAGATAAATATCAATTAATTATTGGCCAATAGAATTGTTTCCTCTCTTCCAAGTTACAAGAGATAAATATCAATTTAAATTGGGCCAATCAAATCGCGCCACATCATCAGTGAGGCCCATCAAGGACTCTTATTCTACCACTATAAATAGGGACCCTCCCTTCACAATTCAAAACACACAACTGAAGAAGCAGAAACCGTAGGAGCAAAATTCTCTCTACAACTCAAGAAGCAAGGAAGAAGAATTCGTAGGAGGTAAGATTCTCTCTCTACATTCAAAGTGTTCTTCGTCAAATTCGAGGTGTTCTTGAGCAAATTCAAGGCATTCTTCATCAAATCCAGCGTTCGATCCGAGATAACGGTGCCAAACCTTCGGATTAACGTTAATCAATTCAAGTCAAGATCATTGGTAGATTAAAGGGCCAAATCCATCAAGAATTTCAAGTCAAATTTAGTCAAAGTTCAACGTTCGATCCGAGATTCAAGTCGCAAGACCCTTGGAAAACGTTATTCAAATCCAAAATCAAATCCGGAGAAGATCAAGTCAACGACCCGACTCCGAAAATTCAAGTCAACCATATATTCTTCTAGAGAGAAGAATCAGAGGATTAAAATAGAGATTGTAACCCGCAATTTATTTATTTTAATTCAATAAAATCGTCTTTGTTCAATTTTTCTTGTTTGTTTATATTGCAGATAAGAATTTGTTGTTACAAATTTTGGCACGCCCGGTGGGACCTCTCTACCTCTCATCTCTTCTCTCTCTCGAAGATCCTAGTAGCTGTTCTACGTTCACGATGAAGGCTGCTACTTCAAATTCATCAAGCATGGGCGTAGTTACAAGGAGTATGGCTAAGAAGCTGCAGACATCCTCCGAGACTAGCTCAACGCCCCAAATCATCGAAAAAGGCTCGTCACCTCTCGTCAACACAGGTGGAGGCGTGGAAGGATCTAGAGGAGAAGCTTCGTCATCCACGTCCCTTTCAGCATCAAACTACTCTGAGGTGGCTCCCGTCATGACGACACATGCTACGACCACGGAAGAGCAGATGGCGATCTTGACCAAGGCCATTGAAGGCCTAACAAAGCACATTCAAGAACAAGACTCCCAAATTGCGATGTTGCGAAACAAGGTTGACGGTAGTCACGACATGGGTAAACAAGGCGAAAATCACACCGAAGCTGAAACTTCTGCAAGGCGACATCCAATCGAAAGGGAGAAGAGCCCGGCTGAAGAATTCCAGATTTCGTCAGAGGGGTTGATTCCTATAGACCAATTGAAGGAGTTCATCATGGGGACTATCAAAGACAAATTCAATGAGGGTTCAAAACCGTCGTCAACATATACCAAGCCATACACTCTAAGAGTAGACGACTTGAAGATGCCAACTGGTTACCAACCCCCGATATTTCAGCAATTTGATGGCAAGGGTAACCCAAAACAGCATGTGGCACACTTTGTTGAAACTTGTAACAACGCCGGGACTTTCGGAGACTATCTCGTTAAACAATTCGTCCGATCATTGAAGGGGAATGCTTTCGATTGGTATACAGACCTAGAACCGAACTCAATTGACGGTTGGAGTCAGATGGAACAAGAGTTTTTGAATCGCTTCTACAGCACCCGAAGAACAGTAAGCATGATCGAGCTCACAAACTCTCGCCAGTGGAAAGAAGAGGCCGTCATTGACTATATTAACCGTTGGAGGAATTTAAGCCTGAATTGCAAGGACCGATTGTCAGAGGCTTCAGCTATCGAGATGTGCATTCAAGGAATGCAATGGGGACTCCGATATATCCTACAAGGGATTCAACCTAAGAGTTTTGAAGAGTTGGCCACTAGAGCGCACGACATGGAGTTGAGCATTATGGCTAGTGGAGTTGAGGGACCACCAGTTCAAGAGCCTCGACAGTTGAAAGAAAAACAGGACTTTCGGAAGGGGGGTAGAGTTTTCTCTAAGACCTCAAGCAAAGAATCTTTGGCAGTGAATGCGACCCCTATCAAATTTCAAGGAAAAGTGAACGGAAACAATGAGGAAAAACAAGATTTTTCCCAAGAAAGAAGAAGACTTACTCTAAAAGAAATGCAAGCAAGGGAATATCCATTCATCGACACTGATGTGGCTGGAATATTTGACGATTTGCTAGGTTTAAAACTTATCGAGTTGCCTGAAATGAAGCGCCCCGAAGAAGCTAACAAGACCGATGACCCAAAATACTGCAAGTATCATCGGTTGGTCGGACACCCAATTCATGATTGCATCGTATTCAAAGATAAAGTTATGCAGCTAGCTCGCCAAGGGAAGATATCACTTGAAGAGATCGGCGCCACTACAAATTTTATCGTCAGCACTTTTGAGTCCCTTGACATGACAACAACGAACGTACACGGAGGAGATGATGATTGTATCAACATCTCATGCAACACGATAAGTGAAAAGGAGACCGCTGCTAGTGGAACGACTCCGTCTCCAAATGAAGTTTGTACCGTGATTGGTAAATGCATGTCAACGATGACTTTCGCAGATGAAGATTTACTTCTTGGTTCCAAACCACACAATAGGCCATTGTTTGTTGCCGGCTACGCTCGTGAGCAGAAGGTGAATAGGATTTTAATCGATGGAGGTTCTGCAGTCAATATTTTGCCATTGCAGACTTTAAAGGAATTTGGAATCTCCACGGAGGAGCTCAAAACTAGTCGCTTGATGATCCAAGGATTTAATCAAGAAGGACAAAGGGCCCTTGGTATCATAAGGATAGAGTTGTTACTGGATGATATGTTGTCCACCGCACTATTCCATGTCATTGATGCAAGAACCTCATATCGCATGCTTCTCGGACGACCTTGGATACATGAGAATAGTGTGGTTCCTTCTTCTTGGCACCAATGTTTCAAGTATTGTCGAGACGGAGTAGTTAAAACAATACTCGCCGATGATAAACAGTTCACCGAGGCAGAAGCCCACTTTGCCGATGCTAAGTACTATCTTGATGATGAGAAGACGGTAAAGGCCAAAGAAATTCTACTAGTTGAAGAACCAAAGCGAAGAAATAATCAAGACAATGCTCCTTTAGCGTGTGAGGCTTTGAAAGATTTGATGTTTCCCCTAACACCAATTGACGAGAAGCGATCAACTTCTCAACCACCTAAAAGATCCGTTCATCCCACAGAAGGAACCCAAGAGGAATGCGAAGAATTCTCCGAGTCCCAAATGACAAAATGTTTTGGCCCAAATGCTTATAAACTCTTAGTGAAAGCTGGTTTCAACCCACGTGAAGATTCTACGCTAGGAAGACTTCCTGCCGAAGTTGTTGGAGAAAAGGTGCATGGCCTCAATACTACTCAGATAATGTTGAAAGAAAAGGGACATGCTATTCAAAGTCCTAGAGTTGGTCTTGGGTTTGTTCCACAAAAGCCAATTCGTATTGCTATCAATAGAGCTACCAGTAATTACATAATCGAAGATGAATTCTCATCAACAGACGATTTTCTTGAAAGTGGAACAAAAGTGAGAAGGACAAGGCTTACACCATCTGTCTTCGACAGACTTACGCCATCCGTCTTTGATAGGCTTGGACCACTTAGAGAGTGGGGGCATGAATAAGGCGACAAACGAGGGTTTGATAGACTTACGCCATCCGTCTTTGATAGGCTTGGACCACTTAGAAAGTGGGGGCATAACAGAAAGAACAAGCAAGATGTGGGTGTCTCTAATACTAAAATCACCAAAACACGAAGGATTCGAAGTACAATTCCATCTCGCATGAAACGGCGTACTTATTTGACCATATCATGTGGTGAAGAGTTGAAGGCTAAAATGCGAACTGTCGTCATTACAAGAATCCAAGACGACGAGGAAGATGACAGAGAAAGTGTGGCATCATCGTATCATATCACTTTAAGTGAAATAGACGTGATTGAGGAAGAAGACGCTGAAATTGCTCCACCCGAACTTGAAGGAGTCAAAGCCACCATCGATGAGTTAAAGGAAATTAATTTAGGAGATGCGGAGAATCCTCGACCAATCTACATTAGCGCTTTACTGGCTGTCAACGAAGAGGAGACTTATATTGAATTGTTGCACGAGTTCAAGGATGTGTTTGCATGGTGTTATAAAGAAATGCCCGGATTGGACCCAAAAGTGGCAATACATCATCTCTCCGTGAAGAAAGGAGCTCACCCTGTGAAGCAAGGCCAACGTAGATTTAGACCTGAATTAGTCCCTGCAAATGAGGCTGAAGTGAATAAACTTATTGAGGTTGGTTTCATTCGAGAAGTCAAGTACCCAACATGGATTTCAAGTATTGTCCCTGTCAGAAAGAAGAATGGACAAATTCGTGTATGTGTTGACTTTAGAGATTTGAACGAAGCATGCCCTAAGGACGACTTTCCAATGCCAATAGCCGAACTAATGATTGATGCTACTACGGGCCACGAAGCATTATCATTTATGGATGGGTCATCAGGATACAATCAAATACGAATGGCGCCGAGAGACGAAGAATTAACAACCTTTCGCACTCCTAAGGGCATCTATTGCTATAAAGTGATGCCATTTGGCTTGAAAAATGCCGGTGCTACATACCAAAGAGCCATGCAGAAGATATTTGATGACATGCTCCATAAAGATGTTGAATGTTATGTGGATGACTTGGTAGTTAAATCCAAAAGAAAGGAAGATCATCTCCAAAATTTGAGAAAAGTCTTCGAGCGCTTGAGAAGGTACCAATTGAAGATGAATCCATTGAAATGTGCATTTGGTGTTACTTCGGGGAAGTTTCTTGGATTCGTAGTTCGTCACCGAGGCATAGAAACCGAACAAGCCAAGATTGATGCAATTTTAAAGATTCGCGAGCCTAGGAACATTCATGAGCTCAAAAGTTTGCAAGGAAAGTTGGCATACCTAAGAAGGTTCATTTCAAACTTAGCCGGTCGATGTCAACCATTCAGCCGACTGATGAAGAAAAATGTTCCCTTTGAATGGGATGAAGCTTGCACTAGTGCCTTTGAAAGTATAAAATCGTATTTAACGAAGCCTCCTGTGTTGATTGCACCAGTACCCGGACGATCGTTAATACTCTATATTGCTGCTCAAGATCGATCTGTCGGGGCTTTACTAGCCCAGGAGAATGATGATGGAAAAGAGAGCGCCTTATACTACTTGAGTAGAACAATGACACCAAATGAATTGAACTACTCGCCAATCGAAAAGACATGCTTAGCGCTCATTTTTGCAATTCAAAAGTTGAAGCATTATTTTCAAGCACATGTTGTCCGCCTAATCTCAAGGATGAATCCTCTAAAGTATGTCATGTCAAAACCCGTCCTATCCGACAGACTCGCAAGGTGGTACCTACAATTGCAGCAGTTTGACATAACATATATTCCACAAAAGGCTGTGAAAGGGCAAGTCCTAGCCGATTTCTTGGCAGATCATCCTATCCCTGCAGAGTGGGAGTTATCCGATGATCTACCCGATGAAGATGTTCTTGTGATTGAAGCTAGTCCTCCTTGGAAAATGTACTTTGATGGAGCTTCTCACAGAGAAGGAGCGGGCGCCGGAGTAGTATTTGTCACATCCAACGGCGAAGTGTTGCCTCACTCTTTTACCTTAACACAAAATTGCTCTAACAATGTTGCTGAATATCAAGCTCTTATCCTTGGGCTAGAAATGGCAGTTGATATAAAGCAACTAAATTTGGAGGTATATGGAGACTCCAAGTTGGTGATCAATCAAATACTCGGATCATACGAAGTTAAGAATCTCGATTTACTCCCTTATGTCGATTATGCTAAAAGACTTATCGGATACCTTGGTGATGTGACGATAGAACATGTGCCTAGAAATGATAACAAACAAGCGGATGCACTGGCAAAACTTGCTTCTACTTTAGCCATGCCCGAAGACGGAGCTCATATATCAATTTTCAAGAGGTGGGTCGTACCACCAATCGTTGAACATGGAGAAATTGAAGAAGACGAAACTCGAGTGGTTTACGTGTTTGAAATCGAGAAGGAAGATTGGCGTCAATCATTTGTGGATTACTTGAAGTACGAAAAGTTGCCTAATGATCCACGTCAAAGAGTTGATATACGACGTCGTGCGGCTCATTTCATCTACTACAAAGATACACTTTACAGACGTTCATTTGATGGAGTCTTCTTGAGATGTTTAGGTGATGACGAAGCCGTTCAAGCCATGGAAGAAGCTCATTCCGGAATTTGCGGCACCCATCAGTCAGGACCCAAATTACATTTCCGAATAAAAAGAATGGGTTATTATTGGCCATCTATGGTAAAGTATTGCATGGAGTATGCCCAAAAATGTCAACCTTGTCAATTTCATGCAAACTTCATTCATCAACCGCCGGAGCCATTACACCCTACTGTTGCCTCATGGCCCTTTGATGCTTGGGGTTTGGATGTGGTTGGACCTATGACAAAGTCTTCCGCTGGACATCTCTATATCTTGGTAGCAACAGACTACTTTTCCAAATGGGCTGAAGCAGTGCCTCTTCGAGAAGTAAAGAAGGAGAACGTTGCCGATTTCATCCGCATCAACATCATCTACCGTTACGGAGTTCCTCGATATGTGATCACAGACAACGGAAAGCCATTCTGCAACGGTGTGATAGATAAACTTTGTGAAAAGTTTGGCTTCAAGCAAAGAAAGTCTTCAATGTACAACACTGCCGCCAATGGACTCGCCGAGGCCTTCAACAAGACTTTATGTAATTTGCTGAAGAAAGTGATCGCCAAGTCAAAACGCGATTGGCACGAAAGGATGGGAGAAGCTTTATGGGCTTATAGAACAACGTATAGAACACCTTCTCAAGCCACTCCATATGCGTTGGTGTACGGTGTGGAAGCGGTCTTGCCTCTTGAAAAACAAATTCCATCATTGAGGATAGCTATACAAGAAGAACTCACTCAAGAAGAAAATGCTTGTTTGCGTCTTGCAGAATTGGAAGCTCTTGACGAGAAAAGATTAGAGGCACAACAAAGTATTGAATGCTACCAAGCTCGTCTTTCTAGGGCGTTTAACAAGAAGGTGCGGCCAAGATCGTTTCAAGTTGGAGATTTGGTGCTTGCCGTAAGGAGGCCCATCATCGTCACTCATAAAACGGGAAATACATTTACTTCAAAGTGGGATGGTCCTTATGTCGTCAAAGAAGCATACACAAACGGAGCGTACAAGTTGGTTGCCGAAGATGGTTTAAGAATTGGTCCGATAAATGGAAAGTTCTTGAAGCGGTACTATGCATGAAGCGGAGGAGAAGGCTTCTGGCCCGCATGAGTTGAAACTGTGCACGGCTAAAAAAAAAAAAAAAAAAAATCTATCTTTTTTTTTTCCTTTGAACTACGTTATGACTTGATCCCATTCGGGGTACGTAGGCAGCTTAGATATTCTCTAAGTTCAGTCCTTTCCTAAAAAAAAAAAAAAAAAAAAAAAAATTCTATTTTTTTTTCTTTGAACTACGTTATGACTTGATCCCATTCGGGGTACGTAGGCAGCTTGGATATTCTCTAAGTTCAGTCCTCTCCTAAAAAAAATCTATCTTTTTTTCTTTGAACTACGTTATGACTTGATCCCATTCGGGGTACGTAGGCAGCTTGGATATTCTCTAAGTTCAGTCCTCTCCTAAAAAAAAAAATCTATCTTTTTCTTTGAACTACGTTATGACTTGATCCCTTTCGGGGTACGTAGGCAGCTTAGATATTCTCTAAGTTCAGTCCTTTCCTACAAAAAAAAAAAATGTTGAAAAATACAAGTGCAGAATACTAAGGGAGCAAGATGGAAAAGGAGATTTTTTTTTTTTTATTTCATGAGTCATAAAAGTGCAATAAACAAAAAAAAAAAAAAAAAAAAAGGAAAAATCTAAATCTAGCTCAAGCGAAAGGGTCTAAATCGTTCAACTTTCCTTTGGCATCTTCTAGAAGCTCGGCAGAGACGCGCAATTCTTCTACCAAATCATCACTTAAAGGGGATGTATTTTCAATGGCAACAATCTCTTCGTTAATCTCACGAATTTCAGTTTGAACAGTATGAAGGAGTTCTCGTTGTCGCTTTAATGATGATCTCAACTGTCCCACCCTCACCTTCAAAGCAGCACGCTCTTTCTTGACACTCTCCAAATCATTATTGGTGACTTGAACTTGAAGAGTCTCTTTGTGTTCTCTAGCTTGAGTAGTATGCAAACGATCTTTAGCCTCCTCTAATTGTCGTGATAGAATCTCTTTAGATGCCTTCTCAGAGTTCGACGACCTCACCTTATCATAAGCAGTCGCCTGGGAAAATAATGACTTCAATAATTCCTCTATGCAAGATATGTCGAAATCACCAAGATCCCTCATGGTTCCAAGAACTAATTGGACATCTTCTTGAATAGACGAAATGGAATCAATTGAAGTCCGTACTATCCTCACACGAAGATCTTGCCATAATTGGCGAAGAAAAACCCGTTTGTGATTTTTCAGGAAATTTTCACCCACAAAAACTGAACAAGCACCATTGTACGACCCTTTCGCGGTCTCTTTCATCTTGGATGTTCTGGCAGGCATCAAAGCAGCCGGCGACAAAGTTGCACCCATTGAGCAAGCCCTGGCAGTTAAGTGATGACTAGCTTGAGATTCCTCGCGATCATCAACGTTAATTATCTCGTTTTCCAACTAAAAAAAAATCATTAAGACAAAATAATAATAAAAAAAAAGGGGGAAAGTGTTAAGTGCAACCTTCTCAGCAAAAGTGTCATTTGTTCGAGAATGACTGTCCACACTGTTATCTATATGAAGATCTTGTGGTTTTGAAGATTGCGGGTCCCTCTTCGGCCTTTTCCAATGACGTTCTATGTGGCTATCGTCACTCTCATCCGATGGAGGTAGACCGTTCCTCTTCTTTATATCTCTAGGAGGGTTTTTGGTTTGGAGCACATTTTCGCGAGAAAGATTGCCGAGACTATTTCTTGCCTCATCTTCTTTGTCTTCAAGTGGAATCTTACTTAACTCCAAGTTCACCATACTCGCAACTTTATTTTCAAGATAAGTTCCGTAAGCTTCAGTCCACCATCTTTTATAGCCGTCCGTGTGAAACTTCCTTGGATTTTGATGAACGACGGAAAATATCACTTTAGACATGGACTCGAGCAAAACACATAGACGCCAATACAGAGTCCATCTATTAAAGAAGCCTCGCGAACGTCTTCATCAAGTACTCCCGGCACATCTTGATAAAACCCAAATTGACGGCTAAACCGATGAGGACTATATGGCTCAATAACGAAACGATTACCACGCCGCAAGGAGAGATAGCTCGAGCGAATGGTGATGAAATAATTTCTCTCGGACCCTTTTGTTGTTCCATCATCAACATATAAAGAAGACTCGCTCCTATGGATCGTGGTGCAAGTCCAAAACATAAGATCTCCTTTGTGAATCTGTTTGTGTTCATCCGCGGGAGTGTAGTATCTAGCGCTTCCTTCTCCGGAATAAGATATCATCTTTGGGCCATCGACGGCTACGCCTTGCAGAACTTGACAATGGGTCTTGAAATAAAGCGCCAACCAACTATAGACGAAGTGAATAGGAAACGGAGAGTTCTCTTGATGGGGTCTCAAGGATCTCGAAATCCTATTTATGCCGTTGAAGATGCTTGCTAAGACAGGAACTGCAAGAGAGACTTCTTCGCCACTCGCCATTATGCTAGCCATCTTGAACGTTGAAGGACGTATCATGCCTACATCATCGGTGGGGAGAACGAAGGTGCAAAGCCAACAAGCCAAATGGGCCGCCAAGTATGTCTCGGACGTCAGTTCGACATCAACGCTAATGCTCGAAAACACAGCTTCTTCAATGTTGATCCATTTTGCATGTGCTTCAATATTGCCGGAAGGATTGTGAGTTGACTTGGGGCGAACACCCTTCTTTTCTTTGCGCGGAGGAGGCTGAGTGTATTTCTTCTGTTTCTTCGACCAAAACTGAATCCAGCTTTCGACAGAGACATTGGAGGACGGACCTTTAGAGCGCTTCCGAAGTAAGTGGTAGGCATGGAATAGATGTCGGCATGAACGGTGAGAATATCGAACACCCTTTGCATCGGAACCAACGAGTTCTTGAGAGGCAGGGACAACTTCATCGTAAAAGAGACCGGTTAACGATAGCCCGGAGAGGATGTGCAAATCCCATAAAGAGATAGACATTTCTCCAGGAGACGTCAAGAGGGTATTTGTAGTCGGACACCATGCCTCGAAGAACGCCTTCATAATTTCTGAGTTGTAGTCGTACGTGAAGAGGGAGGCATATACAGAATCATAGATCTTCGCGGACTTTAGCTTGTGCTGGCAACGACTGAGAACGTCTTCGGTCCATTCCCAGTACCCTCTGAAGAACTGAAAGCCGCCGGAAAGCTCGAGAGTATCTCCCCACTTGACTTTTCCTTTCACGATGTTGCCACCCAAAGTCGGCAGAAGGCTCGGACTGCTTGACTCTTCCGGAAGCAAGGATCTGTCGGGTTTTATGATTTGATGCTCGCAAACTGTACACGTACTCGTACTTATTATGAGGATGCTCGTGGGACCAAACGGACATGCGATTCGGAGTCGTGAGACGTGGGCATTGCTTTGCGTAAGGACCGATAAGGGGGGCATAAATCGTCAAGACGGTTCCTTTGTCGTTCGGTTGGTAACGATCATCAAGAATTACCAATTGCTCGTCGCCTAAAGAAGAGAAAGCTTGCTTGAAACAAACCATCGGAAAATCTATCAAAACAGATCAAAGAAAGAGCGATAAGTTCGATGTGGTGAGATATAAAATAAAAAAAAAAAAATAAAATAAAAAGCGAGGGCAAGGAATCGTGCTAAAACCACCCAATGGCCAAACCTAAAACGAAGAAAAGAGGACCGGTGAGTTAAAGAAAGGAATCAAAAGCACGTTCAAGTGTCAAAAAAAAAAAAAAAAAGGGAAACGCTTTTGTTTTTTTTTATGGAACTGACCTGAAATCGAGCCAAAGAAATTAGCAAAACCACCGAAAACAAAAAGAGCTAAATTCGATGGAGGTGAAAATCCTTTTGCAAGAGGGTCGATGGTTGAAAGATGATGAATGAAAAAATTGGTAGGGGTCACCTCCTTTTATAAGCTAGAAAAATAACTATCCCATTCATGTTAGGATTGAGATTTTCCAATCACAAGGAGTCTGAAATCTAGTGGGAGAAGGATAATAGGTGCTTGAGTTGAGAAAATTAAGTTGCAAAAGAATCCTTTTGCATGAATAAAACGTGAGGTGCTGGGACTATCTCTTGCTGCGCACGGAAATCGAATTGCAATTGGAATTGCATTCAAAATCTGATTTTGAGTGGGCCCACAAAAAAAAATTAAAAAATTAAAAAAATAAATAAATAAAATAAAGCTACAATTGGGCCCTTGAAATGAAAGGATAATTTCGAATAGATCCTCAAGTCAAGAAAAATGTATTTGCAGTTGGGTCCTTCAATCAAGCCAAAAGAATATGACTTATTAGTTAAGTCCCTCAAGGTGAAGGATTTATTAAATTACACCCCAAAATTGAGGAAAGGGGTTTTGAAGCAAGCAAATGAAGGGAAATTCAAGTACTTCAAGTCTCGTCTCAGAAACATTCAATATGTTCTTTGCCGAGACTAGAAGTGGGGGCATTTTGTACACAAATAAAATTTAAGCCAATTAAATGGCTAAATTATATATGGAATAAAGTTTTATCCAATGGCATTTCTGTAATTATACATAGCCAAAGGACCTAGATGCCAATTGAAGACCCGTATATATGCGGTCACATATATATATTTTTATCAATTATATATTTTGGAATTTAATTAAATTAATTTATAATTTAAATAAATAATTGATATTAAATATATATTGGCCAATAAGATTATTTCTTTTCTCCCAAGTTATAAAGAGATAAATATCAATTAATTATTGGCCAATAGAATTGTTTCTTCTCTTCCAAGTTACAAGAGATAAATATCAATTTAAATTGGGCCAATCAAATCGCGCCACATCATCAGTGAGGCCCATCAAGGACTCTTATTCTACCACTATAAATAGGGACCCTCCCTTCACAATTCAAAACACACAACTGAAGAAGCAGAAACCGTAGGAGCAAAATTCTCTCTACAACTCAAGAAGCAAGGAAGAAGAATTCGTAGGAGGTAAGATTCTCTCTCTACATTCAAAGTGTTCTTCGTCAAATTCGAGGTGTTCTTGAGCAAATTCAAGGCATTCTTCATCAAATCCAGCGTTCGATCCGAGATAACGGTGCCAAACCTTCGGATTAACGTTAATCAATTCAAGTCAAGATCATTGGTAGATTAAAGGGCCAAATCCATCAAGAATTTCAAGTCAAATTTAGTCAAAGTTCAACGTTCGATCCGAGATTCAAGTCGCAAGACCCTTGGAAAACGTTATTCAAATCCAAAATCAAATCCGGAGAAGATCAAGTCAACGACCCGACTCCGAAAATTCAAGTCAACCATATATTGTTCTAGAGAGAAGAATCAGAGGATTAAAATAGAGATTGTAACCCGCAATTTATTTATTTTAATTCAATAAAATCGTCTTTGTTCAATTTTTCTTGTTTGTTTATATTGCAGATAAGAATTTGTTGTTACAGCCACCTCTTCAAGTTTAAATAATTATTAAAATAAAAAAACAAAAAAAAAAATAAAACAAAACAAAAAAAAAAATTAATTAAAAATTCAAGACAACGAGAAAACATATTCAACGGCGTCAGCCACAATTTATTTTTAATTTATTTTAATAATTGTTTAAACGGGGAGATGTGTTTTTTTGTTAAGGTCAAATGTTTCAAAACTAACGGCGATGGGCACATTGAGACAATGAACAAACAATATATATACGTTTAGGCACATTTTTTGTATAGGGATAATTATAATTTTTGTACCCAAGTTTGCACATTTTTCACTTTTGGTTCTCTATTGACTTTCGTCAATTATAAAATACACTTTAATATTGCCACATTTTAACAAATTGAGTCCCTCCGTCTGTTTGACTGTCATCAAGTAACCGTCAACAATTGAATTGAACGGATTTATCTTTTAAAAAATTGCAATAAGACCCCTATATTATTTCAAAACTCTCTAACATACCTTGAAATTTATCTAACCCTAATTCAAGGGGAAAAAATCATAAAAAAAAAGAAAAGGGAAAAAGTCAAGGCCGCTCAATGATGATTTAAAAAAAAGAAAAAAAAAAGAAAAAAAAAATCAACAACCGGTTTGGGCCCCAAAAACTGCTGTACTAGAGTGGTTCCTCCGTTCCAAATTATTCCGCACAGGTCCAATTCACTCCCTTCATATTTTTTTGGGAAGAAATTCGGGATACACATGCGGTTCCATGAAGAGAAATTTGAGAGGAGGAATTTAGGAAGTTTGTACTTTGGTCCCAATATTTTAGATAAAAACTATATATGTTAGCCGTTTGAAATTTTAATGTTACAATGCTAGCTAGACATTAATATAGTAATATTTTTGTGTCATACAATAATAATACTGTGTTGATCGAAAAAACAAATATAAAAACAAGTCAACACCGAATTTTTTTATAAAGAAAAAATAATAATTCAACAGAGGTCAACAATGACAGTAGTAATAATCGGAGTCATCGGTCAAAATTGATTAATTGGTGAAATTGGTGTTAAATTAGTGTTGGATGAAATTTTAGGGGTTTAATTTGTAGAAAGTTATTTTGAAATAAGATAGGGGTCTTATTGTAATTTTCTAATTTTCCGAAAAAAAATCCCAAATTCAACCCTGATTCAATTGCTTACCGTTACTTGTTGACGTTCAAACAGACGGAGCGACTCAATGTGTTAAAATGCGGCAACCTTAGTTTATTCTATTGATGACAGTAAAGAGAGGACCAATAGTGAAAAAGTTCATACTAGCTCGTGATTAAAACTCTAGTTATCCCACTTAACATGCATATGCATGTATGTTTAAAAGAGATATGAAATCTATGGTAGCATTACTTTATGTAATACTTTATAAACTTCAATCATCATCAAATACAATTTACTAAAATTTTGGAACGAATTAGTAATTAGTTTGTTTAACGAGACAAGGTTCTGGAGCGATTGGGTGCGTCGGAAGATGAATATATTGGAGAAGGAATGGGAGCAATATTGGGTGCTCCAGAAGAAGACGATATTGTCAACTTGTACTTACAAATACGGCAGGACCAAGATTTTCTCCATGCTTACGAAAAGAGACAGTTTACCGATACGCCGCTGCACCTAGCCGCCGGCCAAGGACGCACCCAGCTGGCGCTGGAAATCGAAAGGCTAATGCCATCATTTGGGAGAATGCTGAACCGAGACGGGTTGACCCCTGTTGACCTGGCCTTGCAGCAGGGCCACCGCGAGACTGTTAGGGCAATGGTGAAGCTGGATCCTGAGCTTGTCCGTGTACAGGGGAGAGAGGGCATCACCCCCCTCCATTACGCCGCGGAAATGGACGATGCCGATCTATTGAAAGATTTTCTTGTGAGCTGCCCGGATTCAATCGAGGAATTGACGGTGCGCGAAGAAAGTGCTGTCCATGTGGCAGTGAAGAACGGGAAGTTAGGTGCGTTTAGGGTTTTGGTTGACTGGCTGATCAAGACTGATGGGACAGAGATATTGGACTGGAAGGACTGCAACGGGAATACTGCTTTGCATGTTGCCGCTTCCACCAATCAACCCCAGGTTCGGTTCATCATATCTATTTTCTATAGGAGAAATAGATTTGGAGAAAAGAGAGAATGATATCTCTTACGTATATTAATCATATATATAGTTACATGTAGGAAACCCTAACCTACTACACAAGGTAACCTATTATACAAGGTAACTATAATAAATAAGAATAATAATAGTACACATAATATATATAATATATACGCTAATACACCCCCGCAGTCGAAATGGAAAAGGAGAAGACGTGGAGACTGGAGACAAACTGTTGGAACAGTTGAGTAGGGAGTCCTTTCGTGAAGATATCGGCAAACTAGTAGGCGGATGGGACGTGAAGAACTCAAACGTGTCCCAAAGCAACTTTGTCTCGGACAAAGTGGATATCGATCTCCACATGTTTCGTACGAGAGTGTTGAATAGGATTGCTGGATAGGTTGACGGCACTGACGTTGTCACAGTAGACAATAGTGGCTTTCGAAAGTGGGCAGAGCAACTGAGAAAGTAGGTTGCGTAACCAAGTCGTTTCAGCGACGGCATTTGCGACAGCTCGATATTCGGCCTCCGCACTCGATCGAGAAGTAGTGACCTGTCGTTTGGAGGACCAAGAGATGAGGTTGTTGCCGAGGAAAACACAATAGCCCGATGTCGAACGACGAGTGTCAGGGCAGCCACCCCAATCGGCGTCGGAGTAAGCGATAAGGGATAGGTCCGGATTGGGGGAGAGCTGAAGGCCGTGATCGAGAGTGCCACGAATGTAGCGAAGGATACGCTTGAGAGCAGCCATATGAGGTTCCCTCGGATCATGCATGAATAGACATATTTGTTGCACAAAATAGCAGATGTCGGGATGAGTAAACGTGAGGTATTGCAGTGCACCGGCAAGGCTGCGATAAAGAGTAGGGTCAGCAACGGGGGGTCCAGTGGTCGAAGACAACTTGCTCTTTGTGTCAGCCGGCGTAAGACAAGGGTTGCAGGAAGCCATGGGTGCACGCTCTAGTATCTCGTCGGCGTACTTGCGTTGAGAGAGAAATAGCCCATTTGACGAGCGAGTAACTGAGATGCCGAGAAAGTAGTGAAGATCGCCAAGGTCCTTCATTGGGAACTCTTGATTAGGGGCAGCGATGATAGATCGGAGCAATTCAGGTGTGGAGGCCGTAAGTACAATGTCATCGACATACAACAGAAGATAGGCGCATGAACTGTTGCGACAAACGCGTGAACTGTTGCGACAGTACACAAAGAGTGAAGTGTCGGACTTGCATTCTCTGAACCCCATGGTAGTACTGTGAGATGCAAAATGCTTGTACCAAGCACGTGGTGCCTGCTTGAGACCGTAGAGTGCTTTGTTGAGACGACACACGTGGGTGGGGCGAGATGGATTGACGAATCCGAGAGGTTACTCGCAGTAGACAGTTTCAGAGAGATTGCCATGTAAGAAGGCATTTTTCACATCAAGATGGTGGATTGGCCATGATCGCGAGAGAGCAATATTGAGAACTGTTCGAACAGTGGCTGGTTTGACAACTGGGCTAGTCAAAATCGATGCCAACTTGCTGGTGAAACCCACAAACAACCCACCGTGCTTGTATCGCTCAAGGGAGCCATCAGACTTGAGTTTCTGTTTGTATATCCACTTACCAGAAATAACATTAGTGAACAGTGGGCGGGGAACAACATTCCAAGTATTGTTTTTAATTAAAGCAGTATATTCCTCAATCGTGGCGTTTCGCCAGTTTTGGTCAAGAAGAGCTTGGCGATAGTTGATGGGAATGGAAGAGGTAGAGGACGCAACGAGAGAAAAATGGACTTTGGGTTTGTGGATGTCCACTTTACTGCGAGTCACCATAGGGTGAGCAGGCGGAGGTGGGGGAGGTGTGGGAGTAGGGGAAGGAGATGTGAAAGTAGGAGAAGGGGTAGTGAGCTGGCCGTGGTCGAGAGGTGGTGCTGCAGGAGAAACAGGTGTTGGCTGTGTTATAGGACTGTTGGACGAACTATTGGAACAAGGTGGTTCACTGTTGGAACAGTCGGAGGAATTGTTGCAACAGTTAGACGAAGTCTGAGGGAGGAGGAACATGGAGGGTGTGTTTTCGTCCAAGGCAGAGGGAGGAAGTGTGTTTTTGGGGGGAGTGGACTCAGCAAAAGGAAAGTGAGTTTCGTCGAAGGTAACATGATGATAAATTATGATTCGGCCAGTGGATCTATCAAGGCAACGATAGCCTTTGTGAGAGGAAGGGTGACCGAGATAGACACAAGGAGTAGAATGGGGGGCGAGTTTATGTGGTGTGGTGGCGGTGAGGTTGGGATAACAGAGACAGCGGAATACTCGAAGATGAGAGTATGTAGGTTTGATGAGGTAAAGAGCTTCGTGAGGAGTCCGATTTTGTGTGGTTTTGGTAGGTAAGATATTGAGTAGGTGTGTGGCCATATGAAGGGCTTCGACCCAATAAGTAGGAGGAAGATGAGCTTGAAAGATGAGGGATCGAATCATGTTAGTTATAGTGCGGATCATTCGTTCTGCGTGTCCGTTTTGAAGGGAGGTGTGGGGACACGCAAAACGATTTAGGATGCCGTGTTTGAGACATGACGTGTTTGCCGGGATGGCCTAGACGCTGATGCCAAAGAGTGCGAGACAAGGGTGTTGCGACAGTGAGGAAAGCAGCGGGAGGTGAGATGGGGGGAGGGACGCCCAATGGATATAGGTCACCGGAGCTATTGCACTTGAAAATCTCGACCCGACTCCGAAGATTCTTCACAGAATAACCAAACGGGTCAAATTCAACCGAACATGAGTTATCGCGGGTGAACTTTCGAACATAGATAAGGTGTTTGACGATATTGGGTGTGACATAGACATTTGTGAGGCGGAAAAGAATGGTGGGAAGAATTGTGTGGCCTATGTGGGTTATGGGGAGGGTGGAACCATTACCGACGACGACATGTTTGGGGAAATTACTGCCAGGATTAAAAACAAAATTGAAATTACCTGAGTGTGGTGCCATATGAGAGGTCGCCCCGCTGTCCATGAACCACTGTGACTCGTTAGGCTGCTGAAGTGTCACCGTATTCAAACGGTTTGCGAGATCCACTACGTTGGCACTGTTGCAGGAACTGATGCAACTGTTGATGAAACTGTTAGAGATGTGGCATGGTTGTTGCTGCGGATGAACCTGAGTAGGAGCCGAGTGGCCGGTGTAGGGTTCAGGTGGTCCAGTAAAGTAGGCTTGAGCCGCTGGAGTGGATGGGTGGCCCGATGTATTTGGAGCGGATCCCAGAATTGACGGTTGTTGGTAAGGTGCGCGCCAGAGTTGAGATGCGCCATGGGCACTATGGTAGCAGTAGTGCTGCATGGGGTGACAGTTAGTGCTGCGACCTCCACGACGGTTGGATCGGCCACCCTCGCGCTGATAGCGCGAAGAACTACCTCCGCGGGAACTGTTGCAGGAACCGTTGCAACTGTTGGATGGACAGTTCGCGTTGGAGGCGTAGAAAACAGCAGCGGTCTGCTCCGGTTTAGCAATTCTTGTGTGTTCCATATGAAGAAGCGATCGAGTCTATAGAAAGGTGGGAAGGGGATTCTGAAAGGAGATGAGGTTGGCAACGGTCCCGTAATTTGTCGGAAGGCCGTGTAGGGTTTGTAGGACGAGTTGTTTGTCGGAGATTGGATTTCCGACATCGGCTAAGTTGTCCGCCGTGGTTTTGATTATTTGGGAATATTCGTGAATGGAGAGAACGCCTGTCTTGAGGGACTTGAATTTTTCTTCAAGTTGAATGGCTCGATAATCTTTGTTATCGGTGAAGAGAGAAGAGATTGCGCTCCATAGATCACTGGCGGTGGAGGTTTTTGAGAGAACCACGCTGGACAGATCGTCGGAGATGGTGCCGTAGATCCAAGATTGGAGGAGATAGTCGGCGCGCTGCCATTCATCGGCGGAAATCGAATCCGGTCGGGGTTTTCCATGTTGAAGATCGGAGAGGCAGAAACGACCGACGGTAATCGTGAAAAAGTGGCTCCACTTTTGATAATTAGGATTTTTCAGATCTAGGGTGAGGGAGATAAGATATTTGATATTAGAGATGGCATGAGCAAGGTGAAAAGTATTGAGAGGGGCGGTGGAGGGAGAACAAGCTTCACCGGCCATGGAAAATGGGGGGGGGGGGGGGGGGGGGGAAAGGGGGGCCACCCCTTTTCCAAAAAAAAAAAAAAAAAGGGGGTGACGGCTAGGTTAACCTAGTGTCTGATACCATATAGGAGAAATAGATTTGGAGAAAAGAGAGAATGATATCTCTCACATATATTAATCATATATATAGTTATATGTAGGAACCCTAACCTACTACACAAGGTAACCTATTATACAAGGTAACTATAATAAATAAGGATAATAATAATACACGTAATATATATAATATATACGCTAATATTTTCATTTTTACTCTATCATATACTTGCATGATAGATATCCTCTAACAGCAAATTTCCAATTTATAGTAAAAAAAAGTTAAAACAATAAACGAAGGTGTATTTTCAATTTTGGTTTACTAATTTTACTAGTCAGCTTTAGCCAATCAACATCAATTATTTTATATTTTAAAATTTAAAATATAATCATAATTTTATTATATTTCCGCTTTCATTGGATGAAATAATAAAAAAATAATTTATCAATTGAAAAGTCAATGCAATATTTAAAATTTTAAAATTCTATATTTCGTTTGTAGAATAAATAACATAACAATCTAATAATTATTGGATCATACAAAATTGAAAAATAACTAAAAATTAAAAAAAAATCAAATTAAATGGTGTCTGGGAGGGTAAGTATTATTATTGATTGCCCAATTCTACTCCTAATGTCTCGAACTCAAGACCTAATAGTCCTAGGTGCAAGGTATAATTACCTTGTCTTGACTCTTGACAAAGGACACTTAAAAGAATTAGTTACATATATAGTATACTTAGAGGCGAAAGTATAAAGAT